ACAGACATGTGAGGGCAAGCAGGCGGGTCTCTCCCTATAATCCACCAGCATCAGCTGGACGAGGATGAGGGTGGCTACAGCCTGAGCAGGGGTTGACTGCCAGTACCAAGAGCTGGGGCAGAGAGCACCGGGGTCAAGGGGTGCAAGCAGCACGTGCTCTTCCCAGTGGCAGGACTGCGGGTACCGAGGGGCTGAGAGCAGTGGTGCTCAGCGCCAGCAGGCCCTGGGTGGTGTGGGTCCCCTGTCCCAGCCCCCATGGCAGGACAGCCCACCTGGGGCTGTGCTGAGGGCTGCGTCTCTGCAGGACGCTGGTGGACTGCGTGCCCCTGGTGGAGGTGGAAGACATGATGATCATGGGGAAGAAGCCGGACTCCAAGTGCGTCTTCACCTACGTGCAGTCCCTCTACAACCACCTGCGTCGCCACGAGTTGCGCATGCGGCAGAAAGAGTGCTAGAGCCTTCCCTGCCCACCGCCCCACTGCCCCCTGCCCTCAGGGCTGCCGGTGGACAGGGGAGCTACCTGCTCCAGGAGCGCCCAGGGGGACCACAGGACCAGCGCTTGGGGCCGGGGGGCTCTGCCACTGGGGCGACCCCACGCTTCTGCCTTGCTGGAGCTCCCTCTGCCCTGGCTAGCTGTGGGCTGACCCCATGGGTAAGGCAGGACCAGACAGGCACTGCTGGGGATGCTCCCCAGCTTGGTTCTCCTCCCACGCTCCAGTGTGTTAAGTTATTTTTTCTCCAGAAGTTGTTTGTCCCGTGGGCAGCACCCCTGCATCCCTGTGTAGGCGTGGGTACAGCTACGCCCTCAGGCCCGGGGCTGGTGTGCGTTGGCAGCTGAGCAGGGTTGTGCAGCCCAGCCTGGGTCAGGCTGCATCCCACAGGCGGCACACCCGCGAGTGGTTCTCGTTGGTCCCCTGTAAGAAAGCCCCTCTGCCCACGGCAGGCCCTGCTTGGTTCCCCCTCCCAGGGGATGGCTCCACAGCCCTGTGCTGACACCCTGCTTCCTACCACGCATGTGCACCCTGGGGCACTTCCACACTGGGGGGGCTGCAGCACCAATGTGCTGGGGAGCAGGCGGGGAGGCGAGGGGTCCCAGGGGAGCAAGGGGCCCGAGGAGCGAGCCAGGATGGCAGCCCATGCTCTCCTTCCCAGCTTGAGGCACCATATGCTCAGTGCTGCTCGCCCCTCCATCACTGTCTCTACACCTGTGTTGACACGTGTACCAACACCAGCCAGCCAATAAAAGTTTATTCTACAGGGTGATGCCTCTGCCTCAGGTCCTTCTCCTTGGCCACACTGCTGCTTCATGCCACCAGTACAGTGCATGCCGCAGCGCCCCGGGGAGTGCTGGCAGCCCTAGCTGCTCCCGGGCTCCTCTGCCTGCAGGCCCACTGCTCACCCAGCCAGGGTGGGGATATGAGGCATGTGCTGCTCCTCCTGCTCAGGGAGGATGGCTGGAGCTGAGCAGGTACCATGAATGTCCCACCCTGGCCAAGTGCTGTTGGTTTGCTGCCCCCAGGCCTGGCAGGGGGAGAAGACCCCCATGCTGCCACGGAGGCTGCACAGAGCCAGGGCTGCAGACAGTGCAGCTGCACCCTGCTGCCCTCCCTGGCCAAGGGACAGATGTCCCCGCTGGGCCAGCGCAGCCATTGGGCTTTGGCTCAGCGCTGCAGGACCCACTCGTGGGCTTGCACCCATCCCCCTGCACCCTGTGAGAGCAGCGCATCCCAAGCCATGGTGCCCTATCCATCCATCCATCACACCAGGGAGGGGGTGGCACAGGAACAGCACGGTTGGTCCACGGGATGGTTTGCTGGCTCAGCAGTAGTGGCTAGCAGCTCTGGGGCACCCAGCTCCTCCTGGCGCTCCATGTATGGAGCAGTGTGGGACGCGCACCACTGAGCCCTCTCTGGAAAGACAACACAGTGCAGCTGATTGTATACAAGGGCTTTACTAGGGGCCTGATATGAGACAACCCTGCTGGGGTGTAAAGACATAGCCCTCTGGGGGCAGCTCTCCCACCTCCAGGACACAGCACATCTACCCTCAGCACCTGGGGCTTTCTGCTGAGGGTTTCATCCTGTCCCATGCAGGTAGGATACCACTGCCCAGTACCGGGGTCAGCTAAGCCTCGAGGCATGGTGAGGGAGCACAAAGAATGCTGCTCCTCCTGACTGGCTGGGGATGCTGGGCTGCAGGGGAAGGAGAGCACCGAGAGGCACACAGGACCCACGGGATGTCTGCAATGCCCAGGGAGCCCCTGCTCAAGGCTGGAGCTGCTTAGAGCATCCTTGGGGCAGAGGCTACACAGCAGCAAGCAACAGTGGGGGCACCTTTGCCACCTCATGGCACTGTCCCCAGCTGCTGTAATGCCCTCATGCCCACATACTAGGGAGTGGCTGCAGGACCCTCTCTCAAGTGCAGCACCTCTCACTAGAGATCTGGGTGTTCTCCCTTGTCATGTTTGGGTGGGGTCTTGCTGTCAGTGGTGGAAGCTTGTGGGGGCAGCAGGGTGGGCAGAGGCCTGGCAGGGGCAAACTGGAACTCCTCAGGCACAGGGGCATCAAGTGTCTCCTTGCGGTAGAAGCCCAGCTCCTGCACCAGCTGATTGATCTCCTCCCGGGTCATGTCGCTCAGGGGGATTCTCTGCATGCAGACAGGGATTGCAGCCTGGCACCTGCCAGGCACCAACCAC